CAAGTGTACTTTTATGCAGCCAATCCTATCTCATGGATTGCTCCACATGAGGATACAGACTTGCGGCTTGGTGGGCCAGGGCTCTCCACTCACCCTAGTACCCCAGTGTCCAAACCTTTAAGTCCATCCACAAAGAAAATGAGGACACCATCTAAAATGATGTCCAGTGGTGATAGTTAGAAGAGCTGCATCTGCTTTGTTTGGTACCTGAAGTCTTTTCTAAATCCCATTTTTGCTGCCGGGCTTCAGTGTGCTATGCACATCTTGTATCTGGCTTGCTTCTCAAAAACTGATAACGTCTGATGAAACCTCTGATTGTGATGACGTGTTTAGGGTTCATGATTTTGATGTTCTCGAGTGTGGTTAGTGATTGTGGAAGAAGTATTACAAGTGTGTTAAAGGTACATTATTAGAGAGAGAAAGAGACTGTAAGACTACGTAAAGGTAGACAGAGATATTCACTATTATGTGTTTGGTAACACAGACGAAGATTCATCATCCCATGAAAGGCTTCTTGGACAGAATCTGTGGAGCAGCTTACTATTTATTGATCATGTCATTGGAAAAGTAGGACTATTAGACTGTAAAAATGAATCATGGTTACTTATAAATGTCAATTTCATTTCATATTCTTCCTTTTTTCCCCATCTAAAGGACTTTGCCTCCAATGAAAAGATGAATTAAACTTCGGGTATACATCATATCATAGGGAAGTATATATATAACAGAGCAAAATGAAGCTTTCAATGGACTGAATACAGTTGAACTTATCCTCTGATCTCTCTAGACAATACATGAAAGCTTTCAATTCTATACATCTGAATTCCAATCAAGCTTTTAGATTTGAGCTTGCATGGATATGGCTAGTTCTCACAAATATATGCAAATCTGAGACGAGTCCTTAATCACATATAATGAGGGATGAGAGCGAGTGATCGGCTGCTCCACTGATAACACCACCCTTGCCTTTGATCTGCATTAGATAGTTCAACGCGGTTTTAGTGATGACCTCACCAGGAATGAGCACAGGAATCCCGGGTGGATAAGGACATACGAGCTCTCCACAAATTCTCCCCACACTTTCTTGGATGCTAACTCTCCTTTTTGGGGCAAAGAACGCCTCTCTTGGGCTCATGCTAATGTGAATATCATCAAATGGTGCAAACTGTTCTTCATTGTTCACTGTATCTGCAGTTAGTTTAGGTGAAGTTGCAGATAGATGTTTTAATCCAGACACAAGTCTTCCAACATGATCTCTTTGAGTTCCAAGATTGAACGCAAATGTAATGGATTTGGTCCCAACTAGTTCAGAAACAACTCCAAACCCATCCGATAAAATATCATCTGCTTCAAAACCAGAGAGCCCAAGCTGCCATACCCCAACAGTGATTCGCAAGGGATCTCTAAAAGGAGTGTTGGGGAACCTTGAGAAGTCAAGGACCGAGATCCCACGAATTCTACTCATCTCGTCTTTTGCTCCCATAGCTAATTCTATAGCTTTGTCGAAAATACTCTCTCTGTTCGCACTAAGTTGCGCCCTAGCAGCATCCAGTGAAGCCAAGAGCAAGTAACTAGGGCTACTACTCTGAAGCATTTGAAGGCACCGGTGGATTCTGTTTCTGTCCACGAGATTACCCCCCATGTGCAACATGGATGATTGCGTAAGAGAGCATAGGACCTTGTGAGTAGACTGTACTACAAGGTCAACGCCCTCGCTAAGGGCTGACCTAGGCAGCTGTGGATGAAATCCTAAGTGAGCGCCATGAGCCTCGTCAACAATAACTGGGATTTCATGAGAATGACACAATAGAGCAATCTCGCTCAAGTTGTTGCATATGCCATGATAAGTAGGGGAGACAACTAAAACGGCTGCAGGTTTCTGGCCTTCCCTTTCTAGTTCCTCGATTGCCCTTTTCACCTGCATCATTTTTAGTTATAGTTGAGAAATGGACCACTAAATCCCACTAATGAACTTCTGGTACAAATTAGTTCTCTGTTTCAAGTGGCCTCAATCAATTAATGCTGAATATACAAAGGAGAATTGAGAATGCAACTCCTATAAGAATGTACTTACTTGCATGGGAGTGATGCCACCAGCAACATCCCAATCAGAATCATATTCAGGGACGATGTACTTCGGAAGGGCACCAGACAATACCATGGCAGATATGGCTGAGATATGAGAGTTTCGCGGTAGAATTATGGTGTCTCCTGGTGAACAAGTAGCCATAATTGCTGCCTGAACACCACACGTACTGCCACCAACAAGAAACCATGTTTCCAACGCTCCAAAAAGTTGTGCAGCTTGTTTTTGTGCTTCCAAAATGGGCCCTTCTGGAGCAAAGAGGTTGTCCAGCTCTGGAAGCTCAGGCAAATCATGTACAAAAGGTCTTGAACCAATGAGACGCGACAACGATGAAGGTGCCGCATGGCCTCTGTTATGCCCGGGGAAATGAAAAGTTGCAGCTTTTTCTTCAGCTGAAGCTTTCAAAGCCCTAACTAATGGTGGAAGCTCAGCAGCAGAATAAATATCTTTTGTGAAAACTGGATTTCTTTCAATTGTGCTAGTTTGGTTTTGCTTTTCTCCAACCACTGTGTTTCTCCTTCCTACAACACAGTTGCATTCGTAGAGTACATCACAAAAGTGAAATACACTGAATTTCAAAAATAGATAAAGCAACTGTAAAACCCTCTTTTTTCCCCTTATCTTAAGGGTAAAAACTGACTGCAAACTTTACCATGTATTCACAATCTTTTCCCACCTTAAAATTGAACTATGCTTGAAGAACAAGAATGCACAGAATCTGACATAAATAAAAGAAAGGACGAATCTTTGGAATACCTACTTGGGAAACACAAGAAGTTGGTCTTCTGCTCCGCCTATTCTGCCCAAATTTCACCAGAGGGCTCTGCAAACAATAACAAATAAATTACTTCTTACTCCACAACTCTTTGTTCAAGATTTTTCTTCTTCTAAATTTTCTTGAAATTTCATTTGCTCTATAAATAATATCATGTAGTCTTACCATATCCAGAAGACTTGAAGCCATTGTTTCCTCTATCAGTCTGTAGTATAGTGTGCCTCCATGCTTTCTGATTAGCTATGGCTTTAAATGGTTTCGTAATCTACGGGCACTACATAATTGGGCCATTATGGTAGCCTAAACTACCAATCCCGTTAAAATATGGGCCGGTTATGTCTGGTTGTAGCCCATAAATTTACCATATGGCCCAATTAGAAGTCAATCGTTATGCTGTAGAACCGTATCCACCTTGCAATGTGGACACTGTTCTATGTTCATATAATGAACTATATATTCATAATTATAAAGTTATATATTCATAATTTGTGAACTTCATATTCATAATTATTGAACTCTATATTTGCAATTACAGAATTCTATATTCATAATTACTGAACTATATGTTCATAATTATAAAGCTATATATTCATAATTTTTGAACTTCATATTCACAATTATTGAATCTTTATATTCATAATTACAAAACTATATGATCATAATTATGCTCACAACTCTATGTTCATAATTATAAAACTATATGTTCAGAATTTTTGAACTATATATTTATAATTATGAACAGTTTTGGAACCGTGTCCACAACATAATTTGCCATTAAAATGATTTCAATGCTTATATTGTCAAACTGAAGTTGACCGGATGGCAAAATGATTAGGGGCCGAGTTAAAGGAGATGAAGATAAGAGCGAGCTAAAAGAGATGATACAATCCACGGTTGAAGAGATGAAAAAAAAAAAAAAAAAAAAAAAAAAAGGGCACAGAGAACCGAAAAAAAAGAAATTGAAAAGACGAAAATGTCATTACGTAAAATATGATTTCACCGAAAAGGTCATCAAAATGACTAAAAGTGTATGAAAAGAGATCACTGATGAAATTAAGTCTTAAAATAATACGACGATGTTTTGCTTTATGGTCCCGAGTAAAATTTGCCTTATATGAGTTATATCATAGACATGTTCTCATATCAACATACATCGGTATTCATATTTTTTTATCATTAACTTTTAAATTTAAATTTAATTTTTCTTTTTAATTTCTACAAATAAAATTAATGTATTAAAATATATTATAAAAAAACCTAATTGAGATATTTTAAATAATGTATATTATTATTTTTAGGAATAAGGGTCAAATAGGACACTAAACAGCAATTAAGTCATCAAACTAAAAAAAAAAAAAAAAAAAAAATACAATTGGATCCCTAAACAACACAAAATCATGCAATTAGACCCAAAATAACTTGTTTACCTTAAAGTAAACTGACATAGCGGTTACCGATTTTTAAAATAAATTTAAATAAAATAATTAATTAATTAAAAACAAAAAACAAAAAAAAAAACCCTAAGCTACCGTCTTCGTCTCCATGTCGAACGCTACATCTCCCTGGCCATGGAGATGATGGTCTCATTGTATTCATGGCCGGTGGTCTCTGGCAGTCTCCATGGCCATGGACATGGCTAGAGATGAAGGAACCTTCGTCTCCGGCCATGGAGACGAAGCCGCCGACAGTTTAGGTTTTTTTTTTAATTAATTATTTAATTTAAAATTGGTAACCGCCCTTTCAGGTAAACAAGTTATTTTGAATTTAATTGTATGATTTTGAGTTGTTCAGAGGCCCAATTACATTGTTTTTTAATTCGATGACCTAATTGCAATTTAGTGTGCAATTGAGTGCCATATTTGACCCTTATTCTCTCTTTATTCCCTTATTTTAAAAATAAATTTAAAGAATGATATGAAATGCACACAGTAATTCACATTCGTTGCTAGTGTGCGAATAATAATCTTAGAACCACGTTTGGGTGCTTGAATTAGTGCATATATTTGTCGTCGGCGTTGTTTAGCATGCATGCATTTTCACCATTGTTTTGTCTGCGAAATTCTTGACTGAAGTTCTTGCACGAGAAATTGCAGTGTGTTCAATCAACCCAAGTTGAAGAAGTAGAAAAATAAAAAATAAAAATCTGAACGTCTGATGACCCTTAGCTTCTTCATTCAGTAACTCACTTGAAGAAATCTACACATTTAATTTATACATTCAGACACTACATTATATTGTATTACACAAATATCAAGCTTTTTTACTTTCTACAATTCTTCTGTTCATTTAACAAGGAAAGACCCTGATGAGATTAATCTAACAATATCATCATTTCTAGGGCATCTATATGCTAAAACCAGCTTCCTATATATAGACCAACTCAACTTCTGCGATGCTCTCAACATACAGTTAATTGGGCAGCTTCTGTACCCAAACCAGCTTCCTACCATCATGTTTGCTCCTTTTATAAGTATGCAATGTTGAAGAAAGCTAAATTATACATTTCCACCGTCCGAACTGCTACAGGCTTGATTATGGAGGACGCTATTCCCAAAATCTCCATCCAAGCTCATTTGTTGGACTTCTTGTGGAGACAGAATCTTTATACACCGAACACAGTTTACGAATTCCCTGAATAATAATGCACCACCATAACATGTTAATGGAATTGTTAACAAATCACTACTTCTCTCTCGTAGTAAATAAAACATGGTGAAGTTTATCAACTTACTCCCAAGGGTCATCGCCAACTAGAAGGACATCGTTCTCGTGATCCACGTATACAAGCTTCCAACCTATTCTCTGTCTGTCCTCCAGTTGTCCTTCAATGCCGAACCTTCTAGCCAAATCTTGTTTCAGTTCCTCGTATCCTGAGTATCGCATGATATCAATTGATCGTCCAACAGCTCCACGTTTGTACACCTGTTGTGTCCAGGCATAAACATGAATGTATTCAGTGACGAAAGAAGAGGGGATGAAGTAATGTACTAATTAAGGTTTTTGAATTGAATCATCTATATAACCAACCTTGGTGTATGTCCTTAATCGTGGGATTGGTGGTTGTGGAGCCCAGGTACTCCTATTCATGAAGCTACCGTCATTGATGGTTGAATCTATTGAATTAAACCCCATATCTGGAACTCCGAATGACTGAGAAACCATGGAGGATGAGAGCTCGGGCTGAGCTTCCTTGGGGTTCTCGTAGTTAGAAAGCATGCCTCCTCCTGATGAAAGATTATTCTCTGATCCAACCAAGTTCTTCGGGATCAAAGGGTCAGGCATCATGGGCATTCCTAACTGGTTGTCAATGTTTGTGGCGAAAGGCATGTTGTTGTTCCTTTGGTCACCCTGAACTTCTCCATCGTGACTAATATCCCTAAATAACATTGGCTGAGAGGTGAAAGACATTGGATTTGTGCCGCCCGGCTGTAACTGGACATCATTTTGAGAAAGGCATATAGAAGTTGCTGAAGATGAGCTATCTAAATAATCCAATTGTGCTGCTGAGCCATTATGGTACACCGGAGGTGTCAAGAATCCTTGATTCTGGCTCTTTGACATGTTAAACTGATTCTTAACATCAGCTTTCTGGTGTATATCTTTAGCTAAGTTGCTACTTGCAGACATGGCTTCTAGACCACTCGAGCTCAAAAGGGTAGCAGAGGACTGGGTTATGTCATCCCCAACTGCTGTGCTTCTCTGAACCCTGCCATTCACCACTGCCTGAACCCCGTTGGGACAATTGTTTGTGGATGGAGAAGTTGAACACGATGGAACATCATCGGTAATGATTGAGTGGCCACCACCAGTTGCAGAAAGTTGATTTGTTGTCGGGGGTCCAACTGGTCCAGGTAACTCCGCTAGCTTTGGTAGCTGAGGTTGTTGTGAAAACCGAAGATTAGTTTGGGTGTTATTCATCATCATATTCATATGGGATTGTGGCAGTGACACATTATCCTGAACTTGGCTTGTCGACATAGACCTAGACAAACTCTGAGATGCATCCAAAACGTGCTTCTGAGGATCGGGTAGCTGGCTGAGCTGAGAAGGCTGTTGCAATGTGGACTGCTGTGCGAGAAGCGATTGTTGCTGTTGCTGCTGCTGCTGGAGTTTCTGTAAAAGTTGAAACTGAATTTGGTTGTCGGGCAAATGCATCTGTTGGGTAATTGGATTGGAAGGATGGGATGATGGCATGAAGCTCGGGTGCTGATTCTGATTCAGAATCTGCTGTTGTTGTTGCTGCGGGGGCTGTGGTGGTAGGCTCTGAGGAAGGTTTCGTTGGAGTTGGTTCTGCTGAAGAACGTTTTGCGGTTGAACAAGACCCTGAGCTTGCAGAAGCTGGGCCTGGACTTGGCTCGTCGGCATTGTTTGATTCACCAAATTTTGTCTCGGTTGCTGACCAACGTCCGTCAGCTGTTGCTGTGGCTGCATAATGGAGCCTAACGGGTTCATAGCCGCGGGTGACATCTTCTGCAGCTGATCAACTTGTTGCACTTGCTGGCCCGGCCTCGGAGAGTTGAATTGTAAGTTGCTCTGCTGAGGAATTTGTTGCCCGGGCAAACCTAATTGGCGTGTAAGATCACCTCCAGCCAGGTTCTGTAGAACCGATCCAGATAACGAATGCAAATAGTTTGGCTGCATCGTGTTGGTCAGGGAAGGGTTCGACTGCATGTTCATCCACTGGGCTAGGCTCAGACCGGGAAGAGCCTGTGGATCCTTCATGCCAAAGTCATCACCAATCCATGGCATTGTCCTTTTGAAAAAACCATCCAGATCGGAAGCGTCATCATCTGCAAGAAAATGTTAGTCGAGCTCGTTATTGATATGAAAGTTTTGGTTCCACCAAGTAACTACATCATTTCAAACTGTTGATATGCTAGTTATATATCTATGCTACCTGGCATCCCGGGTTGCCTTGGACGCTTTGCTCTAAAGAATGGAGGAGTAGGGCAAAGGAAAAACGGTGCTGTAACGGGTTCAATCTCCCAAATCGAGACTCGACTACGCCTCTCTCCAGCAGTTGATTCATCCCAACCAACCTAAACCATAAACACGATTTGATAAATTAGGTGAATCCTTTAGGTTACTGTGAGAAGGTAGAAGTTAGAAGTCTTTTATCCTACCTGCAACTTACGCCACTGTGAACCCTTCCACCTCACCGGATCCAAATCACTTATGCCAGTAATGGTGCCCATATACCTGTGAAGTGAAAGCTTTGTTATACAAGATCATTGAAACGAGAACAATTCCCGAGAAGTTTATGTCAGATATTCCTACCTTCTGGTTCCCGATTCCTCTGTCTCGAACATCATGCGAAACCGCATACCAAGGGATACTTGGTTGCCATAAACTGCTTTGTAGTACTTCGCCAAAGGGATAACAAACTCTGAAGGACTAGCCCTGTTCCATTGTAGCCAAGACAATCTCAGAAAACCGAGCATTCATAATAGTAAATGATTCACGAGCAAGACACCAAGTACTTCACAATAATTTGCAAAATAGTCCAAATCACCTTGGGTTATAAAACACGGTGAAAGGGCTGTTGTTTGCAGATGCATGGGCTGCAGCAGCTAGGATCCCGATATGCATGCTATCACTGGACAACACTGATGAAGATAAGTTTGTAGGTTGCCTATTTGCCCGCCTTATGCCCAAGAGAAGCTGCTGCTTTTCGTCCCTTATACACGATTATATCAAAGTCAGTACAACCCGAAACCAAAAACTCGCTTTAAGATCAGCATTTCTTACTATACCTCTAAACATCTTACCTAATAAACAACACTGAGTCACCCGCAAAAAGCCTCTTTCCACTCACAAAAAGGCTCCACCCCGTTGTCAGCAAGTGGCGTTTCGGTTGCCCTGCATTATGCGAGAGAGAATGCAAGTTAAAAAAGCACGAGGAATAAAGAAAAGTTACTTACGAGATAGATGGTTACTAAACCTACCCCGATATATATGGCGAAAAGTCCAGACATTGTCATGTAAATCTCTAGCAACCAGTTCTTGAGCAGGTGGCTGCATTGTGTAATCCTGCAGAAATACAAACACCCTAATATGAGATGCATTCGAATACAAAACACAAAACGTTAAGGCTAAACAGTCTTTTCATCTTACCAGACCGGGGAAAATCTTCTCTGCAGCACGACGAGGTACAGAGAAACCTCCATGAGTACTTGTATCACTAGCCGTCAAGGTCTTACAGAAAAACTCCGTCTGTGGCTTGTTCACCTTCGTAGATAAATCTGATCTTAACAACGCTTCCTTGTCAATCTGCACACCAAGGATGATATCAGAATATAACCGACAATTTGAAGTATAACGAAATATATAACAAGGTGCTGTGCATTATCACTGTATTACAACATTGAATTCAGAAACAAAAGCCTCGGGTCAAGGCAGATCCATACCGAAGGAACAGGTTGAAGCGTCATCTGTGCATATACTTCATCGGTTTCCGGATCAGCCTAAGATATCAAGATTCAAGAAATACGTGTATTTTAATTTATAAGCGAGTGGATCAAACTTAAAAAGTTTATAAAACGCAAGAACATTCTGAAGGCATACATGCAGGGTGACATTATGGAGGTAGCATATTAGCATTGAGGGAAGGTTGGGGTAGTTCGGAATTTGAGCATCCACGTCTTTCTTCATAGACGCAGCAACCTGAAGACGAATGTACAAGTGAGAATAAAATTCTAATCGGACGATAAAAATAGTGAAAAACACGCATCAAATGTAAGACTGCCTTTACTTGAAGTACAAAAACATATGTTTAAAAAGTTAGTTTGATGGTTCACAAAGTAAACAAGCTTGATCCAACAATCAAGTCTAGTCTAGACACTTGTCACTTTTTACTACGCTAGAGAATAACGAATCATACAAGTACTGCAAATTTGTTAACCAAATTCGGGAACAGACAATCAAATTTAGTCTGCACAGCAAGAACACAAAGAAGTCCCGATATTTCAAGAACCAGCATCATTGCATCAATTAGAGAAGTGAAAACAATCTGGGAAAGTAGAAATAGTAGTCGAATTTGCAACAAAAACCCAGCCTTGGGAACACGATAGACCCAAGAAAACCCAGTAGACCCCGCCAAATCAACTGTTGGATCCATCTAGATACATAAAGCCAAACCCACTTTAGTTTTGCCAGACAGGTTCATCTTTTCTTCCCTTCCTCCATTCATACCCCCAACCACCCACTTTTACACAATCAATTTCACATTCTTAATTTTTACAAGAATGACAGATGAATATACACAACCAAGTAAAGACAAACAAGGACAACAGTAAAATCCCAAAGAGAAAGCACATGAAGCAATTTGGCATAAATGCCAGAGGTGCAGGATAGTGCAGATTTGATCCACAAATATATTGCTTTATCATCCACACATTAAAGGCAGTACTATTAACAGTATAGCAAAAAAAAAAAAACACCAATAATTGAACCCATGCGTGTGAGTGCTTAGGTACATATGTGCACATGCACCCACCCGCCCATCAACTGACACAAGGTGAACATTTAGTAGTTGCACCGTGGCGGCACCACCGTGCCCATAAAAAGTAAAATTCTCTAGCCCCACATCCCGACCTGATAGAACATTGAAAGAGTAAATGATAATGACTCAAAGACCAATTAAGTGTAACTACCCGGGCTGGCTCAAACTCGTGCCCTTACTCACAATCTACCACCCAAAAACCAACTAAACAATTGCAGCCACCAGAGCTGTGTCAATATGTACAAGCAGTGAAGCAGGCAGGCAGGTCAGAGTGCAGTGTATAAAAAGAAGAACCTGTTCGCTGTGGCCCTGGGGGAAGTAGACGACGTGGGTCCCGGCCGCCGGCAAGTTCACCAGCGGTCCGGCGCAGGCCTGCCATAGCTCTGGGTTTATGCTCTTCTTCTCAGCTGCTATTCAAAAATAACGAGCTTGGATTCGTTAGTCAGAAACTCAGAAATCGGATTAGTATCGGATTTTCAAGAAAACAAAGCTTCAATTTTTATTTTTGTTCCATCATGAGGTGAAGTAGAAAGTAAAGATACAGACATATGTAGATTTATGAAGATTCAATCTTTTAATTTATCCATTGTTTGAAAAAGAAAAAGAAAAGGACAAAACCCAGAAAGAAGAAAAGGAAAAAAGGTTTCATCTCTTGACAATGCATTAGTTTTATAGAGGGAGAAAGCATCTGTGTCTGTGTATATAGAGAGAGAAAGAGAGAGAGGAAAAAACTGACCTTCAGGTGGGTTGGCGTTAGCCGCCGGCGGTGGCGTCTTCATTGCAGTACTTCAACCGCCAAAAAAAAAACTCACTTTCCGAGCTGCAAACAAACACCCAGATAACCCTTACCGGAGATTCATATCTGCCTTCAGTAAATCGGAGCTCCGACACCCCAACTCCGGCTGGAAAGCACGAATCTTGATTTATCAAAACATAGACTTTTTGTTTCCCTAAGCTCCCCCACTAGGAAAAGGCAAGCTAAGGAAAAAGAAGTCCCAAGCTAGTAGTCTACTATTGTATTAAACAAAAGAGATTAACCGGAATCGGAGGAAGGGAGTTCCCGGCGGCGGGAAGTGTGGCCGGAAAATGCGGTAGAGAGAGAAAGATGTAAGGGGAGACAAGAGGAGCTTTGGAAAAGGAAGGGATGTTGAGGATTGCAGAGACCAAATGCTGCAATTCTACTTTTAACTGCCCCCTATACAGATACACCCTTCAGACACACTACTTTCTCTCTCTAGAAATCCAAGCCCCTTGCCTTCTCCCTTCCAGTTCTCTTTCTCTCTCTCTATCTTTCTTTGTTATTCTTCTTGTTCTTCACAAAGCTTCCCTTTTTCTATCTCTATCTCTATTGTTCCCAAAGCTAGCTTTCTTTAATCTTTTACTTTCTCTCTCTGCGTAGTTTCTTATGTCTTCTCTCTCTACTCAATTATATATGTCTTTCCCCCTTTGGTTTTTTATTCTTTATATTCCTCCTCTCTCTCAGCTTTCTCAACAACAGGACTGACCATTGCCTCATCAAGTTGACCATTCATAGTACCACCATCACCATGGTTAATGTGCATCGCTGTGTCGTAATTTTATTTATAATAATACTACGGATTATCATTTTAATGTGGTAAATTTTAACCATCATATTATATATATATATATATATATATATATATATATATATATAAAATAAAGAATTTATATTTGTAGTTAATAATAATTTAAACAATTTTAATAAAATTTATATTCTGTATTTATTAAACAATATTAATAATGACCAGGGTAATTTAAACAATTTTAATAAAATTTATATTCTGTATTTATTAAACAATATTAATAATGACCAGGGATCGAGTCTCACCAGCGACAGTGTGGGAGCAACCTCTCAAAGTGAGAAGGGCTTCTTGTGCGCAATGAGTACCGGTCTAGCCTCTATGGTTCATGTTCAGTTGAGTCACCATGATTTACATTCTCCCAAATACTCTGTCGGGCCGAGGTGTGGGGGGCCCTTAGGGTTGGGGTTCAGCCTTTTGAAATAATATTAATAATATTAAGTTAGTACCCAGAGTGTGTGTATATATATATAATGTACACTATATACATGTAATTTACTATTTATAGAAATTTATTTAAGGATATAACCTACAATTAATTAATTATTACGTATAATTTTAATAAAATGATAATTAAAGATGATGAAAAAAAATTAATATGGAGTTATCAATGTTATAAGTCGTCAATACCCTCAGGGGCCGTTTGGTTCACGGAATGTTAGATTACCTTAGGGAATGTAAGATTACCTTAGGGAATGTTAGATTGCTAGGAATGTTAAATTACTGGGAATGTTAGATTCCCGTGTTTGGTTAAAATTGAGGTATGTAATATTATCATGTTTGGTTTAGGGTTATCTTTATATATATATATATATATATATATATATATATATATATATATATATATATATATATATCTAATATCCTTAACATATTTTCATATATTTTAATAAATTTAATCATTAAATTAAATAAATAAGATAACGGTATCATATTAATAATAATAATAAGCTAACATAAAATATATATCTTTAAATAATTAGAATTAAAATGACAAAATTCATAAATATGCAAGGTTATCTTACATTACCTAACAAAATGAAGGGAATCACATTCCCTTCAAAATCCTATGTGGATGGAATGTTACATTCCCTGGGAATGTTATATTCCCTCAGAGAAAATGAACCAAACATAGGAATGCAAGCTCGGGAATGTCACATTCCCTTGGTTATATAATATAACCTGAACCAAACGCCCCCTCAATACTATCCCAAAAAAAGAAAAAGTTGACTCTATCATATTTTAAAATCTTCTTTTTATTATCATATTTATTTCAAATTCTTTATCTGTTTTTTTTTTTTAATATAACTAACTAATATATATATATATATATAGGGTCTCGTTCTCGTACATACATATCTTTTTAGGCACTATGATATTACATTACTATGTATGTAAGAATGTATCATTATATGTTCAGAAATATATTAGGGTGGTGCATTTTTGTAGTGTATTTGTACATTTTATCCTGATATATTTATGAACACATTGTGGTGCATATACTTTTCTACGTGTGCACGCACATATAGCATTCAATACATTTAAGTGAAACTAATTCATGTTCAACTAAGATCATGTCCGCAAAGTTTGACACTCTAACGATTATTCAAGAGAAAGTTTCACTCAAGACTCTTTAACATGAATACATGATACACCATTTTATTTGAAATGCAATAATTATAAAATGAGTTAGGATTAAGGTCCAAATTAACCACTGAACGTAATCTAAAAATACAATTAGGCCACTAAATGAAAAGAAAAATGCAATTAGGTCAATGAACACCCCAAAATGTATGCAATTTCAAGGAGGGGGTGGAGAAGGGGGTGGTCGGCGGCCACCCGTCATTTTTTTTTATTTTTATTTTTATTTTTAAAGTTTATTATTTAAAATGTCAACTCACCATCCATGTAAGCAGACAACCTAATGAAATGGATGGTAACCTGCTATCATGTGAAATTGCATACATTTGGGGTGTTCAGTAGCCTAATTGCACTTTTTTTTTTGTTCAGTGGCCTAATGACATTTTCATGTTACGTTCGGTGGCTCGGTGGCTAAGTTGGACCTTATTCCAAAGTTATTTATTTAATACATGGTTGAGGTGGTGAGAATATAACAGAGGTAGTGTCATGTAATAATTGAGATGTTTTTAATCAAAATGGTAGAAATTGTCAAAATTATTGAAAATCAACTTGTTCTAAATTAAATGTTGCATTCATAACTTCTAATAAGTTGACTCAAATTATTTTCCTAAAAGCTGGTTGCCAAACAGTTCAAAAAATTTTAAAATCAAACTTTTTTGACAATGTAAATAAGTTATAAGTTAAATACTTATTTAGCATGTCAAAGATGCTCTAAATATTCAAAAATTTATAATATTTTTAGTATTACTCTGTATTTTGATTAAAGTTATCGTTTTTATTTGACTTGATCATAAGTTCACTTTTATAATTTATTAGAAATAAATTTTATTTTACCAATTATACATTCACTCTTTATAATTTATTGATTGCGGAATAAAGTTCATGCATTGTATAATCACTATTTGAGAAGAAGAAAAATTGCCAACATTTAATAATAAATAAATGCAAGTTATAAAACCTCTTGAGAATGTTGTCTAGAATAAAACAACCTCTTGAGGACTTTGTCTAGAATGAAATATGGTTAAGACTCGCTTAAATATGTTGCAATATGCTAATTATAAATTAACAGGCTGTCTTATGAAATAATCAAAATAAATTTTATTATTTGAAACAATTATCATTAACCTTAATCATTGAATCCAAATGGTTACTCAAAAAAGATAGTGTTTTATCCACTTTATTTAAGAAACTTCTGGTTTTAGATTGATATATAGAAATGACAATGCTATTTTTGACAGAATAATTTCTTTCATAGCATTACGACACGAATAAAACATTGGGATTTGACTAGTTGAGAGCATTATTATATGATAATAGAAAGATATTTGGTAAATTACCTAATAGTTGATTACATACCAAATGACTTTTTTAAAAAGTTGATTGAAAAATTTGCTCTGAGCAGTTTTTTAATTTTAACTTTTCGGTACAATAAGCTGTTACAAATAACTAATTAATCGAACATTCATATTGATTGTTTAGGGCATCCCCATTAGAAGATTTATCACGATTTTTGAGAAAAAAAAAAAAAAATGAGGTGGATGAGAGTGTGAAGAGAGAGAATGACACTGGTTCTCTTGCAAAAATGGGGTTTTTTACGGTGAGTGGGCCCCACCGCTGAGGAGAAGAGTTGCGCCTACAATGCGTGAGGCGCACCTCTCGCGTCCGCGCATAAATCTATTTTTTTTTTTTTTTGTTTTTTTTTCTTTTCTTTTCTTCTCCCACCCCATTTAATCTTTCCTAGTCACACATGCAAAAATTCTTCAAAATTCTTCCAGTCATGATGCTCTTAACCAAGTCAAACAGATAATAATGGTCAAACAAATCAAAATTGACTGATGAGCTAATTATGTTACCAAATAGGACCATAAACTTTTAATAATCATGTTTCTCTACCAAACTTGTCGTATGAGACCGAACAAGTACAAAAAACATATGTTTCTACGCCAAAACATAATATGAATTCACTCAAAAGGATTACCGATTCAGGGTGGTATGTAATCACACGTTTCTATCCAATTACATCATGCATTTCAATTCCCATTTGACAAAAAACATTAGGACATAACAAACGTAGGACTAAACAATATTGAGACCAAGAATGTGGTTTACTTATAATAATTTGGACCACAAGCTAAAAGGCCTAAAAGAAGATAAACCTCAAGTACTTGAACATGACTACACCATCATTTTCAACCTCTTCTCTGACCTTATTGCCCTCATTTAATGTTGACAATGACAATAGAATACAGAATTTTTTTTCTGGTTATGTGTTTTCTTTTCCCCATAATGGATGTAAGGTAGTTTTATAGGGCAATTTACATACATAAAACTATATAATATATGGAAACAGTTGGGGCAGATGTTGTAGTGTATACATCACAAGTACAGGGGGAGGAAAATCAGGAAATTGCCAAATTCAAATAAAGACACACTATAAACTAAAATCAAATTTAAAATGAAACGAGTAATTTTATAAATTCAGTACTCATTTTTAAGGGTCTCCACGCCCAGGCCCGACAGAGCATCTGGAAGAATGTAAATCATGTTAACTTAGCTGAACACAGAGACTAGACCATACTGTGCACGCCCTCTCACTTTAAGAGGTTACGAACTCGATCTCGAGTCATTGTTCCCAAACTTCACCCTTGTGACCAACTGAGCTGCCCAAATATCTCAAAATTAGATTGGTTTTTGGTAATGCGAGTTTTGCCAATGTAGTTATTACAAAAACCAATCATAATTATTTCAGCCATAAATAAACCATATATAATGTTGCATCAAGTTTCTTAAAAGACTCATGATTTATAATTTGGTGTCATTGAATAGCTCATAATTAGCCTAATTTTATTGTTGGAATTTGTGATAAAAATGCAACAAAAAACACCAAAGGTTAGAGTGTCAGACCCAATGTCCAATAAATTTTTTTTTAAAAAAATGAAAAAGAATTTTATGATAGTAAGATGCTAACAATACAATACACACAGTTGATGTGGTCCTTCATGTTCTTATCCAAAGCTAAAGCTTTTGGTCCTTTGGTAGAAAGAAAAAGGAGAAAAAAGGGAGTCACATTTTTCTCTCCCATGCATTTACATATCATGCCATAGTCTACCAACTCTTTCATTTGTCACTTTCAAAAGGATGTACCTATATGGAGTTGTTTTAGTTTGGTTAATATTGACCAAAGGAA